TGAAAAATGTATTTTTTTAATAAATTGAAATTGCAATTGTATCCTGATCTTTACTTTGATTCTCCGTCTTGAATACGGGCAAACTAATGAGATCACATATTCTAGAAGGTGGCTTATGAAGTGATATGTCCTGCAACAGGCCCATTACTTTTACCAATTTTATTTTCACATGACGACGCCGATCACAGTGCTGTCAATTGATTAAGAAGTGAATAGTGAGCGTATGATGTTTGTAATTTAGGTTGAGTTTTGTACTTTTTTCAAGCAACCACAACATTTTCAGGTTGAAATACGGAAAAAGTTAGACATTCTCATGCATCATTTAGCGAGCCAATATGTGTAAGCGATTTCGGAGGAGATGGGCATTTCGGCTGGCAGAACTTCATCGCAGACTCTATACTCTGCTAAAAAGTTTATTGAGGATTTGAAATTTTGCTGTCGAAATAAAAGACCCCAAGTTCCCTTCATCCCGTCTTCTGGGTCTGCTTGGATTATGCCTCTTCCCAGCCATAAAAGGTGTCGGTTACTATTTTTGCTCTTGATCTGTTTGAGGCTGCCACATTTTGGGGGAAATTTGATGAATTCTCAAGTTAAAAGGTCTTTAGCTGACAAGAGTTGAATACTCTAAGCTTATGTCACTCCTGCTTCTTGCAAGGCTGTCTAAAGGAACATTAATAAAGTCAGGTCTCATTGTAAGAAAATATGTCACCTACTCTTTGGTGTTGTGTGCCTAGCTTGCTTGTCCCTGCTTATCCCAGACCCAAATGAAACAGTTCCGATCCTCTTTCCTCTGCACGACAAAAAGCCTTCGAACTAGCCACCATTCTTTGATTAGCCTGAACTTAGCAACACACTTCAATAAGTAAAGATAGAGAAGAGCTGGGTTTCAAAGATTCTCTAAAGCTCTCTTATCATCTCGGAAAGCGAGCAAAAGCACAAGCGGATTTGCAGGAATGTCTTGCTCTAGTTTCGATTTAATATGGCATTCTGGCAAATTGGGCGGCAAAAACATTAGACTCAACGTTAGAAAATAATGGGGAAAATGCTGGGCAAAGTGCCAATAATGTAATTGAAGGACTTAATAATGAAAAATAATATAAAATAATGTAAAATAGAGTCTAAAATAAACACAAATATAAAGAAAATATATGCTATAAAATATTATTCTGAGGAACTGGTTTAACTTTGTTTTCGTATCTTGGTTGTAGCTTCTGTGAGGCTCGGATTAATACATCTTGCTCGGTGTCCTCTGCACGAGAAGCCATGCTAATTTTCAGCTTTTGA